ACGGGTCAGAAGGACGAGGATGGCTGGGCGGCCATGCCCAGGACCTGTATACACAGCAGGAGGGCAAGCGCATTTACCGGCAGGGACCCAGGCGCCAGGGAACTGCCAGAGCACACCAGGATGCGAGGACCATGGTTTACTGATCCTGACATAGCAGACGCTTACAGACCTCTACTCCCAGAAGGGTGACACGTGGCCCTGCACCTGCCTGAGGCGTCGCCCTTCAGGGCTGGGTATCCAAACAGTCGTCGACTGAGAGGCACTACACATAAAGCACACACACCCCCCGCATGCGTGATTGGCGATGACTGGGGTGGCGGTAGGTGCGGGGATTGCGGCAAGGGCGAGGGTGGGAGAAGCGGTAGACGTTGTTAGGTTGAGAAGGCACACGTGACGAGGAAATTCTTATCAGGATGTATTGAACGGGGTGAATATCCCAAATACTAATGGAAAACCTTACGGAGAAACCATATCGCCGCAACTTCAACTGCACTAAAACGACACGCAGAAAGTCACCTTGAGACAGTTAATGCCGGAATTAAAGAACTCCAGCGGAACTTGTGTCAGAGAGCAGGGGCTCTCGACTGCCTTGAAAACCACGAGAGATTGGCATTTAAAGACTATGTGGATACAGTCAGAATTAAAAGAATGGAGGCCAGGTGGACTAAGCTCCTACGAAGCGTCCAGTCAGTAAAACCTCAGACCGTCCTTCCGAACAATCCGGAACGGTACGTGCATAACTATTCCTCAGTATGTCTTGATAAAGATCTCGTAGAGGTACTAGCTCTTGGCCCTAAGTTTTGTATTGCACGGCGGATGCCGAAACAATTAGAGCTAGAAATCCAATTTGAGAGTCTCTTTAGTCAGACTGCAGATCTAAAACCCACTGAGGCTAGAGAAGTTGATTGTCTTAAGTCGACTCTGGTTAACTGCTGCCAACAGTATCTAAGGAAGTCCCAGAGAAACAAGGGTCCCTTGACAAGGGCCCATATCGATAGCCTTAGGGAGCTTCGTAAAAACAAAAACATTGTGCTTACTAGACCGGATAAAGGTTCAGGAGTAGTGCTGATGGATAGGACGGAGTATGTGGCGAAACTAGAGGAAATACTGTCGGATCGTTCCAAGTTCTCAAAATCTGAGAAAGATAAGGATCGCACGGAGGCTGTCGAGGGTCAGCTGACGACTATTCTCAAAGATCTCTGCAAAGAAGGCCATTTGTCTAGCAAAGAGTATGAACGACTGAGACCGGTGGGCTCGACAATACCAAGAATGTACGGCCTTCCTAAAATTCACAAACAAGGGCTGCCTCTACGTCCAATCTTGGATATGAGGAATTCGCCCTATCATACCGTTGCAAAATGGCTAGTGGAAAGACTAAAGCCATTGCAAAGTTACCTATACCCTCGAAGTTAAAAAGACTCCTTTGAGTTCGTCGAAGCTATCAAACATATGAACGTTGGCGGACGGAGGATGTTATCACTGAATGTATCATCGCTGTTTACCAACGTACCCGTTGCAGAAACAATAAACTATCTTTGTGATGTTATTCGTGATACGAACTACCCCATAGACATGCCTGTGAAAACGCTAAAAGAACTACTGACGCTTTGCACACAAAATGTCCAATTTCTGTGCAATGGTCAATTATACATGCAGGTAGATGGTGTGGCAATGGGATCACCGCTTGGACCGTTCCTTGCAAATGTTTTTATGGGTAAAGTCGAGAAAACAAGCTTGCAAGAGACCATTAATGGCCTCGTCTTCTACGGTCGGTACGTGGACGATATCTTCTGCCTGGCGGATGGTACCACCGATACCGAGGAGCTTGTCCAAAAGTTCAACAGTGCGCACTCCTCGCTAAAGTTCACTGCAGAGACCGAGGCAGATAACGAACTTGCCTTTCTCGATGTCCTTCCGCACAGGCAAGAGGATGGGTCTATCCAGCGCAGGGTGTTCCGAAAGAAAACCTGGACGCGACAATACGTTAATTTCCACAGTTTTGTTCCCCTAAACATCAAACGGAATTTAGTCCAGGGATTGGCGGCTAGAATGAGACGCATCTGCTCACCTGAAGCTATTGAAGAAGAACTTCAACAGCTGCGGAACACACTTCGGGAGAACGGATACCCAGATAGATTTATCCTCCGAAATATTGGGGAACGCGTTGAAAAGCCCACTGTTGCGACTGCGGAAAAGAAAGATATATTCATAAGCTTGCCTTTTAGAAGAGACGCAGAGAGCGAACTAGTCCGACGGCGCTTAACTACAGCTATCACGAGGGCATTCCCTGCGGCGAATTTACACGTATGCTTCACAAACTCTCCCCTCCTACGTTTGGGAACTAAAGACAGACTACCGTTGGAGGCCACATCAATGTGCATTTATTCATTCACTTGCTCCTGTGGAGCAGGATACATCGGCCGCACAACGAGACGCCTGGTAAAGAGGGTGCGTGAACATATGCCCGCCTGGCTAGACAGAGGTGAGACCCGGTCGATTTCGAGTTCTATTCTCGCGCATTTAATCGATACGAACCACCGAGTCGATGCCAAGAAATCATTTCAGGTTGTCTACCGGACACCAACATGCTTCTCTAAAGGCCTACGCCAACGGATACTAGCAACGGCCGAGGCAGTAGCGATACGGTTAGTGAATCCGGTGTTATGCTGTCAGAAAACTCTGACACAAGCGCTTTCGCTGCCGTGGCCAACGCCAACCCCAAGTGATGAAGCCATGCCGCCTCAAATCCCTAATCACGATGATGGGTACTCCGTGTACTCAACCCAAGAACATTACTCAAAGACTCTCTTACCCTCCTCCCCTAGCTCTGACGACTAACACCCGCCGACCTTCTCATGCGGGCGGCGTGGAGATGATGAGTGTTAGTGACTTAATAGCCCCTGAGGCATCTATAAACACTGTTGATTTTGTACATTTTCTTTCGTTCATGTAATTTTATTGGCCTGAGGAAGAATTACCGAAAACGTGCGTTCGCCAACTTGACTTTTCAATTGTAACATGGGAATATTTGCGGAGCTTCAACATGTTTGTCAGAAAGGTGCGAAAATTGATCTTTCTTCTACTAATTCGATAGTAAATTATGCCTCTTTTGAACTTTCCCCTTGAAAAAGTGTATATTTCAATTTTAGAAATTTTCCAATCATGAGATTTCTTAAAACAGTGAAAAACAGCCTATCTGTCTACTTGTCTGGTTTGCATCCACTAAAAAATTCAATGACGTCTTTCTACTAGAGCACAGAAATTTATGATTTGATTTACATGGAAAATGTACACCTTATAGTTTGGCGAACCGAATCAAGTGTGGCAGTGAGCTGGGTTCAGAGTTGATAGGGAATTGAAAGGGGTTTTCATAACTGAAATATACCCTTTTCAAGTGAATAGTTTGAATAAAACGTAATTTGCCGCCAAATAAGCAGAAGAATGACTATTTTTGTGAATGTTTTCCGTAAAATACATTTGAGTTTACAAGGGGATAAAAAATCAGTGGAAACATGTTGTACTTTTTATGTAGTAATTTTTTACAGATTATAGTTTCTGCAAAATCCTGAAACGAATTTCATTCAAAAGCTGGCATCCTGGCGTGACAGAAATATCTGGGGATTATGCTGCATGATGATTAATATTGCAATCCTACTTAGATAATTTGCTTTAGTAGAATACCTACTTAAGAATTACCGTTAACATTTCATGAAATAGCACATCGGCTCAGCGCCTCATAAAAGGAGATTATGATCGCAGTCGTTATTCACATTCGCCTAGCCTGGCTTTAAGATGAAACCAGTCCAAGACAACAGGATAACCGCAGCATACACAGACCATTTCCTCTGCAAGTAGAACAAGACTTCAGAAAAGAACTAAAAGGCACCAGAGTTGGATACTATATTTGAGTTTCGCTGGATGATGCAAATTCGACGACACTGTTGTAATGCAGTGATTCCTGGGTCCCGCTCAACTCCTTAATCCTCTTCAGCAGTGTATCTTTCAGCGTTTTTAAACTCTGAACCCGCGATAACAGTTCCGCCAGCCTGTTTGCCAGTCGATCAGTTTCGCTCTGTCCATTTTCGCATCGGCTCGAGATCTAAGCACAAAAAATGGTACATTATTCCTCCTTGAAAAGACCGGAAACCGTCAGTCACAGTCAGGGCCAAAAGCCATGTACGAATTTCATGGCGACACCCTGAAAGTTTTTCGCAGGAGGAGAGTTACCAGCTGAGTGCTGCTTATAACAAGGACAGGGAAAATAAAAATGGCTAATGTCAGCAAAATGACGCCGGCAGAAGACAGACCGTAAGCGTGTGATTCAACCGGTGAAATAACGGGTGGACCGTCGTTACCGATGGTGTCCACCGCGTGCCCTACAGCTGGTGGAGCTCAGGGACGTACACACGAATTAGCTTACAATGATAGTGGACTTGGGCTGCGCCTACCACACTCTCTCCTCGCCCACATGGGCCTAGTGTCGAAATAGAGCCAATAAGAATGAAGGTGGGATCGGGCGCAGGTGACTGGCACGGCGTGCAACCGCTCATAGGCGTACCACAACACCCCCTGGTCCGTGAACGTAGAACCAGTGAGAGTGCTAAAGAGTCCACGTCAAGGAGCTACTGGATTTAACCGGTAGAACGTCTTATAAACTGGCATTTGAGCCTGCGTCCCAAACTAAGATACCACGGTCTGAGATCAGGCTTTTGTGGATTGTCAATGGCAAATAAATCCGAAACTGCTCCTCCCATCTGTCTTGGCCTTCCGACAGTACTTTTTATTATTGGTTGCTTGTTTTCATACAGCCCCACATGTGCAGACTATACTCTAAAGTTCCAAGAGCAAGCTGAACGACAGCATTTCTTTCCTTATTCACCGTTGCCTGCATATAGACGTCGTTCGATGGCTTTTTACTAAATCTGGTTGAAATTCCAGAATTAACACGAGCGGCCAATCAATAGTGGTGAAGGGTTTCTGCGGAGAGCAGCGATGCGCATTCAAGTAGTCAGCGCCACATAGTTGGTCTGTTCCAAAAAGCGACCTGCCTGCTGAGACATTTCGACAAGCAGGTCATAGCTTATATCAGGGTCCAGGGCAACTGCATCCCTCTCCAGCTTCATATGCCTCCTTGACTGCGCGATATGATCGGTGCTGTTGAGGTTGATCTTTCGTAGGCGATCCTCCAAACATTGGATTGCTGCTTCCTGTTCAGTTTTTGCGGTCTAAATTCAGAAAATAAACACTACCCACTGAGTTTAAGTAGGCTCTATATAGAAGTTTCAAATTAATGGGCGCAATAATGGCAACAGAAATTCAAACGTTGACTTTAGAGCAGATTTTTAGTGAAATATCTAAGCAGAATTTTGAAAGATGTAGTTTTTCACTGAAAACCATGATTGATGCAGGGGATGTACCAGGGGAAATATCAGATCTGACTGATTCCCTGTTTGGTTTGAAAAATTAGTTTCAGAATAAAGCAAAAAATCTGCCCATCTGGGTGAGACTAAACCAAAGCCAATAGTTTTTACGACAAAAATGCACTGCTTAATTGGCATTACGAAGTACTTGCCTTCAAATGGGTTAATCCTGCAAGCTCTCGTCTGACCTCACATAGCTCACTTTCTCGTTTCAGGCGCAACTTCTGGTACTCTGTAAAAGGAAAGCTATTATTTTACTCGGAAAGTTAATTGTGAAATTTTAATTTGTCTAAGCTTCAGATACTGTCCTGTGACCTTTTATAAAGTGAGTAAAACGTCTTCCGTTAAAAGAATGGAGTGCAAAGTAAATGTAGAAGTTGTGTTAAGATAATAAACGACGTTAAGAAGGATTCGATCCTGCTTTAGAATGTCCGAGAGAAAGGTTTATCGTCATGGAAGTGAACGCCGACAGAAGTATTGCTGAAGTTCAAAGACTCAGCTACGGGAAACGTTAGCTTGGGCGGTCAATAAGGAATCTAATCGGACATTCATTGGGGAAGACGTTGGCTGGTGGGTGGAATTTTGTTTCCCTAACTGTAGGCGAACATAAAAGGAAACACCGTCACCAGCGGCAAAAGGTGCTCAGAGGATTGATTGAATAATATTCGAGGGTGGCAGCCTTAACGAACTAAGAAACGTGGAGCGGGATTAAAAACAACAGCACTGGTTGAACACGCATCAACAATAAAGAGCAGGGACAACGCCGAAACCTGAATAGTGATTTACTCGATGAGAGCTGGCCATACCCTCAGGTTGGGTGAGGCTGAATTCCTAGCGAGAGGGGACAGTCTTGCCAGTGGCTGTCCCTGCTCAATGCCAAAGCTTCATCTGGACAGAATGATCACTGTCGCAGAGAGCGCTAGGGCGAACGCCGCTTCTATTAATGACAATGGTTAATTCTAGTGGGTCTGCGTGTGTGATCACGCGTTAACTGCACTCTATACATACTGCTACCCGCGCGACTGTTTCTGATGGTGGGCTCGTAAGCGAGTCGGAAACGTCGGGCAGAAAAATTCTTGTCCAGGCCTTCACGTATCCTTCTTTTTTAGCGTTTAAGAACATTGGGGATACTTAACACAAGTGATCTCTTCACAATCTCTCCACCCGTCTCCACCGCAGAAAATAAAGGACGAGGGGAGTCATCTCGGGATGCAAAAAGTAGAGTGGGGCTCTCAGCTCCATCTGGCTCCCGTCCACTCTGGTAGACTTTCGGCTCCGCAACCCCCATAGAGCCTCAATAACTGCTTATGCGTCCATGCCTGCACATGATCGCTCGCGGAAACCAACATGTTCCTACTCCACTTGGCTAAATTTGCAAGCATCTCATGATTCCGGAGGACTGCCGCTCTTCGTTTTAGCTGCGAACAGGTGAAAAGGACCGTACACTCGTCCCCACACCTTAAGCCATGGTTTTACAGCTAGCTTCACCACCGATTGCCTGATGAACACTACTCACTGCGTGTCTTTTGAAGTTGGATTTTCAATTCCACTCCCCACTTAGGAGTCGGCGCTTGTACTTTTGAATTACTTCCTAATCTGCCGGACTTCCTTGATGAGATAGAATGAGTTCTTTCTTTTGAAAAGTTACCACATACTGACAGATGAGGTATAGCAATGTAATATTCGGTAACGGGGAAACTGGTCGGACAGTGGTGCTGGTTTTTTGTTTGGGGGTCCTTAAAACCCCCTATGTTGACCACAATCGTTACGGTCTCAAAATAAGTAGTACACCTTTTTTTCTGCTTGATTTCTAACGCCTGTACGAACTGAGACATGGTTCCCGGACAGACGCACAGTCTTGCTCCTTGGCACGCTCTATGGCCCGTTTAGCCTTCCTAAAATTCCGTATTTCCGGGAGTGAGAAAACCCAATTTCTTAGAAAAACATTAGGCATGGGACCTCATGGGACGTTGTCATGTACACCGGCGTCCGCATGTAAAATGACTGAAATTCATACCAACATATTATCGTTACCAGGAAGTGCACTCATTGGCGCCTGAAGAAACAAGTGAAATCGATGTTGGCGTACCAGGTTTTTGGACTTTAAGAACATACGAAAGTGAAGCTTCTACTTCAACGTAACTCTAAATTTCCGAGCTTTTTAATATTAAGACATTTCGCACCTCAAAACACAATGTTCCCGGAAAAAGTGGCCAGAGCATGAAATTCTCAATGAATGCATGTGCTGCTGTGCGGGTATCGGAAACCAGAGCGGAGGCGCTAAGTGGCAGCAGAAAATTTGAAACGGGAATCAGAAAATTATTGTCCCAGGGTGGACCACAACCATTCGAATTCTGTCCGCCTTTTCTATGCTGTGAACCAACAGGTGGCCGCTGACAGATCAGGTTGAGGGATAACGCGCATACGAACATAAACTAACCGTGCAATGGCGTGACGAATTATCGCAGGTGGCTGCCCACAACTCCTAAATGGGTCACGAACTCAACTTCACGGCCGCCGAGATAATCGCCTACGCCGAATATAAAACAAGCTGATGAGAACTCAGTCAATCGATGTAGCGATCTGGCATCGGCATATGGAAACTTGCGCAGTCATCTTCAGACTTGTGTCACAGACCGCTGATTGGCTAGTATCCCCATAATTGTCGCTTATTCTGTTTCTGATGTCGTCTTTGACGATGGAAGCTTGCACGAGTTCGGAAGCTCATAAGAATAAACAAACTGCTCCAGTGCTCAACCAGTCTTCATCTCACTTTAGGTCGTAAGTTGTAAACACCTCCAGGATAAGTTTAAGCTTGAGTTCATTTGTCAGAAAAAGAGACTGAACTGCAGCAATTAAATGAGCGTCCTTACCAGCGATAGACCTTTCAGCATCTTTAATGAGCTTTGCAGCCTCGGCTTTGAGTTGTTCGATTCGAGCGAGTCCCTCCCTACGCTGTTTAAGCGCAGTCGACATATGACTTATTGTCTATCGGATATAACTGAAGAATTTAATAGCAACAAACCATGGCTCTCCTGTTTCCTCTGCCCTGCATAATATCCTAGTACGGTCGAAATAAACCGGAAAGGTAAAGAAGAATTAATCACATGAACAAAGAATAAAAAGTAGGCTGGATCATCCTTATTGGTCCGCAATAAGCACGCGCCACGATCAACGCTTCCGTATCTTAGATGACAGGACAATGTTTGCATTAATCCTTCCTTCCAAACCATGCATACCAATTTCGAATGTTACATATATACATGTATGTGTACATGTACATGTTATCCGACCGAGTTACGGGATGGATTCGCTTTGGGGCTTAATCATGATTCCTTACAGGCAGTTGCGTAGCGGCCAGTGATGCTGCACAAAGGAGCGCTGACAAAGGTAAACGATAATGAGATGGTCATGTCTGACTTATTAGACGTCTTCAGCCAACCCAAGTTTAGATAACCTGGGAATCATACCCGGAGTCCTTGGCTATTGGAAATTAAGCCAAACACTCTGTCATAGGACGACGGGCATGCTGTGCAATCGGAAATATTCACCATCGTCTTGTTTGACATTGGACCCAATTGTGTTTAGCACATGTTCTAATTCGAACGGAAGCACACGCAGGCGGCGTTAAGTAAATTGGTTCTGACGCCATCAATAACTGTCCTGATGCTTACTGATGACAAAAGAGTCCAGTTCACCTTAAACCCTTTATCGTTGAAGGTGGATGTGTGCAACCCGATTTGTAGCCAGACAAATTTGCATTTTTCCTGTAAGTTCCAAGACTTCTCCTGAACTGTCTCTTTAGATTCTAATTAATGTAAAAAAGGACCAAAAGAATCGTGTGTCTCCTGCTGGCAAGCATTTTGCATACTAAAGCCAATATTTGATTGTTTGGTCTGAAATATTCTGGCTAAACTGTCGTAATCAGCCGAATACGAGACCAGTGGCTGTGCCCAGGCGTTTGTGAACGAAAAATGCGTAAGAGAGTGAAGTGCTCGGATCTATCCTGAGCAGTTCTTCTTCACCTTAAAGCTAAGTGATCACAGTCTTCTACGCGGGTAGTAACAAAACTACAAGTAACGGCAAAAATAAAGAGGGTTTTATGGCTGTTTTGGCTTACAGTAGTACTAACAGCCAGCCATAGCAAATCCAGGTAAGGGAGCCCGACTGTTGTCGATATACCAGTGGGTCAGTAGCTTAGTAGCAGAGTATTCAACTCAGTAATATGAAAATACGAACCCTGCTTATTTCGTATTGAACTTCTAACAAAGCTTAAAAAGCCCTGTGCGTTTCATCTAAGGTAATACACACGATGGCGCATTTTTGAACGAACTAGTTTCAGGAGAACCACGTTTTCGTCCTCCACACTTGATTAATATTAGGGGAACATATAGAACTAATGTTTAAATTATGCCATTGCGAACTTATAAATGAGGGCACCAAAGATAACCTGACATAGTTTTTATCGCAGGGTATCGAAGCTTAAAACGAAAGAAGCGCTCCACTTTTCTCGATGGGATAGGTTACACCTGGGCGGACGTCCACGTCGAGGGATGTAACCACCAATTTAACGCGGAAAGAACTGTGGCGCTCTCTATGTTTAGCCTTTAAATTGGAGGTTTGATCCAAATAACCCAATTTTAATTAAGCAAAGGGCTTTCTAAGAAATGCATAGTCAATTTTGTTAAGCAAAAATGCCCCAGTCAACTTGTTGCACGGTTACCCAATAAGGCACCTTGTTTACGCGACTTAGTTTACGCGACCTGTTTACGCGACTTTCCCAGGCACAAAATAACATAAACATGTGATGACCATGTGGTGATTTAATTGTGAAGTAAAAAGAAGCGCGTCGGCTTCTTCTAAGGTGCTCCCTGAAACTCGCTTTTTTGCTTGCAGCGGCGGTTTGGGCCAGCTCTGATGGTCAATATATAACACTAACTAGCCCAGAAAAGTCGCATTGCCTGTCCTGTCTAAACACGATTGCAACATCACCCAAGATTTAAGTTTCCGAATTAGCTTATCTTGCACACCTTTTATAGGCCAATTTCTTAGGGACGAATACGAGTCCATGGGCCAGGTAACAAAGTACATGACGTGTGGGCTTCTGACGAACGAATGATCGGCAGGGGCTGAAGTCGCCAGAATGTTATATATCGGACTCTAATCTATTTAGTGTATGAGGTCGCTCACGAGTACTATATCTGGAGGGCAGCGACATGACTGCGCAACATGAGCGCATGCAAATTCTACCAAAGAATGTGGTCATGGCGTTTTGCAAATATCACTTTACGAGACAGCCTACCACGTATGGAATATTTTTTGTCAATGTCACAAAAACACAACGCAGCTCACCAAGCTTCAGCTTAAGCAAGGCTGTAGCTAACGCATCTCCATTAGCTTTGCGCATTTATTGCACAAATATATTTGTGCAATAAATGCGCAAAGCTAATATATGTTCAGATCAGATCAGATCAAATCTCAGACAAATCTCAATTTCAAAATCTTAATCATACTATCCAACTTAGATTGAGTCTGCAAACGGTATTTAGTTGAATTCTTTTCCATTTTCTCCAGCTATAGCTAATTAGCTACAGCTTATAAGCTGCAAGTTTATAAACTTGCAAACTGTCTAAATCATTTATACACGGATTAAAAAGTACTTCCCCAAATATAATGACAACGATATTTTGTATTATTTCTATGAGAAATGCATCGGGATAAGTGAAACGAAGTTATGCCACAGCGGAAACGGCGAGAAATATAAATGGACTTCTAAAAAAGTAGCTATTGCAGCCCATTTGATCTGCCGCAGACGCTGACGAAACGGGAGACTGTTAAAACAAAAAAAATTACTATGAGTAGTTTATCGAATTGCCTGCAATTTTTCTTGGTGTTTGATCACACCTTAGAAATATAAGCAAATTAAATGGCCTTCTAAAACTTTAAAGAGCATCACAGGCTACAGATAAACTTCCCCGACACAAACGTATAGATCACTGGGGGACGTATTTGCTAAGGGTTTACAAAAGCTAAGCCCGAATCACTCATTATGAGATAGGTAAGGAAATAATAGGTACTAAATCATGAGAGGCTTAGAAGTTCGAGAGCCTTCCGATTATTGACTTAGTGATATCTTTGTAAAGAATGTTCCTAGAATGGAACCGCAACCCAGCCTTAAACAGTGCCCAGCAAGACATTTAAGTAGGCCGCAAACATGGAAAAAGAAACGATGGCACGAATTCAGAAGAGAAGGAAACGGAATTAAATGTAAATAAAGCATGCAAAAAATACAAGACATGACCGGATAGCCGATAAATGATTCATTAATAATACAATGATATGTTCAAAAAATCTACGGCGAAAAGAAGACTTTCTGCCACCTTAGGTAGATTTCGTCGAAAATACACACTAATTTTTTGAAGATTCGCCGTTATTTTCTCCGATCATCAGTGGGACGCTGCCTTACTGACTTAGCAGAATACTGGTCGTTTTGATGAATTTATGTCTAAATATTCCTATTCTCACACGATGACTGCGTCCTGGTAAACTTTGACTACGTGATCCACTGAACCCGAGTTTATGGGAACTTCAAAAAGCAGGCGAATGGACATTTCGGCTTGGATCGTAGCCCGATAGCTGCGAGGAACCTAGTAAATCTGATTACCTTTTGTTACTTAAGCGGTGGATTTACATCATTATCAGCGTAGCATGCAACTTGGGAGCTTCTGGAATTTTTATGTTAGACATCTCTGAAATATACCTATGTGATCGTATAGATGACTTACGCGATCCAGATTTTAGTGTACATGCCACCAAGACTGCATTTCTGAAATAATACAATTAAAAACAGCACAGGTTCTTCCAGTGAACCACTAGGTAGCATGAGGACTCCTGCTAAGGTCGACATATCATGCTAAAACTTGTGATTTGCAGGTCTGTAGCGACATAATACATCCGCTCAGTGGGCGAACGATTGTTTTCTCTTACAGTCAGTAGCGAAATGTTCCAGATTTTTAAGTAAGAAGTCTAAGGTTTTTGTTTCATTTATATCGCCCCTATTGTTTTTGTGTGGACAACAAGCCGGAAATTGGTTGCTCCCATGTTTATCTTCCTCGATGTCTTTTCTGATGCTATGCCTACTAGAGCCATAGGATATATACTGTCATTCATTCAAAATCAGTCTGCACAAACCATACGTTAGGCTCATCTGAAAATGAGTCAGTGACACGATCATGGATGACATGGTAGAAAAGTCGGACCCTGGAAGATCAGCACAGTTCAATTTCTTGAGGAAAAATAGTTTCACATGTTTGACTGTCCTATTTGCAGTTAACAGAGAAACCGTGTTAGTTGGGATGGTTTAAAGTGGACCTTGAAGATGAAAGTGTGATTAGAAGTATCATGAAAGGAGTTCAGGCTCTCATATCTCCAGTTCATTTCGGAACACAAATCTGTCTTGGTTAATTTTAAAACAATATACAACGCTATCACAATATCTACAATGAGGACGTACGCACTCAAAATTTCATGTTCAATCGTCAACATAGAACAAAAACAAAATGTGTTCCAATATGGAACGCAGGAACCCCACTCTCAATCACAATAAAATTCCATTGCTCGACCGATTCAAACGATCTGATGCCGACCCACAAGGATGTTTTCGATACATTTGATAAGCTTACCTCTCATCCCCATTTTTCCAAGATTGTGCAACAACCTCCGGTATGACATAATATCTAAGGTCTTATCAAAGTCGATGAAGGTTCTGTGGATTGCGTACATATCTTCGGCCACTCGGGTCCAATTCTAGAGAGGTTGTAGCAAATTTTTGTGCCGGAATTTCATTTACGGGACCCATATTTACAGTCCGATAATAGGTCGTGAAAATTCAGAAATTGTTCTAGTATGCTGCTCATGATCCTCTTGAGGACTTTGCCGAAAAATAAATTAACCTTGGGAGCCTGTTCATTGTCGTC